CCCCCCTGTTAATGTCTCCAGGTCACCCTGGTGCTGCTGCAGCCGCGCGCAGCAAAAGTGCATAATTATTAATCCATCAACATCGACGCGAAATAAACAAAATTCCGGCGTCCCCGCCTCCCTGCAAATTTTCTCGCCTCGCCTTTGCCGCCCACGGGACGTGTCCCGGGCGGGGACGTGCAGCAACACGCCATGGCCTGCGCCATTTAGCTCATTTGCATACAAAAGTGCCCGGGAACGATTTTTCAGCGTCATTTGCTGAAAAGGAATATGGGGGACGATGAGAATGGCGAGGAGGTTGACAGGCGCGGATAATCAATGTGTTTCCCTGTGTCGTTGTTTATTAACTCGCGGCCGTATACACTTCGGGACGCTTCCGAAAATTTCGGAATTGAGCCGTTTTGGGCCGCCCGGGAGTGATATGTGCTCAAAGAGTCATAGATAGCTTCAGCTCAAAGCTAAGGACACTTGATATCCTACAAGTGCAGTGCATCCGAGGGGGCCGCCACTCCTGAAATCATGTGTACGCCCTCCCTGAAATCCTCCCGCAATGATTTGAAATCCACCTGCAATCATGAAATCATGCGTAATCTGCCAGCAAATTTTAGTCTGAAATCCTTAGAAGGTCATGTAAAAACCGCCGGAATCATGTAAAATCCGCCGGAATCTTGTGAAATCCGCCGAAATCCGGTAAAATCCGCTGAAATCATCTGTAATCCTTCAAATCAGACATATCTGCCGGCAGGTTTTAGCGTGAAATCTTCTAAAATAATTTGCGAAATCCGTGAAATCATGTGAAATCACGCAATCTTTGCAATCATGTGTACATCCAAAGAGAGAGTGGTGGCCCCCTCGAGTGCATCAACAGGGCTCTGCCCAGAAACGCGGCGTGCAATAATAAACACGCGTATATGCAAGTGTGCGGGCGTGGGCGATGTCAAGTGAGATATCAAGTTGTTTTTCCAACGCAAAGAAGATCTGCACTGAACAAATGTTTTGATGGGGGAAGCATAGGGGAAGGGGGGGGAGGAGGGGGCTGGACGAGCCGACTACGGTCCGACCCTGCGGCGCGCGGCACAGGATGTGTTTGTTAAGCAGCGCCTATGGGGCCTATGGGGCCTATGGCGCGGCGCGCTCCATGGGACGCCTGCCCTGCCTATGACCCGGCCGGGCAGACTTACATTTACTCATGACCGACCTCTTGACATGACGTCGTCTCCATCCTGATTCGATACCGCCAAAATGGGTGATCGCTCGCTCGCGCGCTCGCTCGCCTGCCTTGGACTGCCTTTGAGCAGCGTGGGCGGCGCACTATACGAGCGTAGTAAAACGTGTGTGACCCAAATACTTTTGAAAGACTTCCCGTGTCCTGCCGGGTCATTGTCATTGTCTTCCCGACTGACTGACTGCAGAGCGCGCTTTCGGCGTGTAAAGTTGTTGTCGTGCCGCTTCGCGTCCGCCACGCTCCTTCCTCTTGTCCCTATCAGCTGCTCGAGTGGGTCGCGATTGTGGCGCACAGAACAACGCACGCCGACATGTGCTGCAGCGCCGTGAGTGCAGTGCGGTGCCCGGGGGCGTTGCACCCTCCTATGTGTTGTGTTGTTGGCAGCAATGGCAGACAAGTGACGAGTGCCACACGTGCGGAGGTACAAAGGGGGCGGGGCGGGGCGGGGCGGGCAGCCGGAAGAGAATGTCTTGTTTCATTATTAATACTCGGCACGACATATCTATTTCCATCCCCCGTCTCATCCCATTCCCCGGGCCTTACTTCTCTTCTTGCTATACAAAGTGTGCAGCAGTTGCACTCGTGCTGGAGCGTTGTTCACCCAACAAAAAAGCAGGTTCTTGAATCAAGTGAATTCTCTCAAAACAAGTGCATGACTTGAATAATTTGAGTGCATGCACTTGTTTCGAGAGAATTCACTTGATTCAAGAACCTGCTTTTCTGGGTGTTGTTGTGGGCGCGTGGCGGCGAGGCGGCGACGGTGGCGGTCAGAGTGCGAGTGGACACAGTGCAGCATATAGGGGTGGCGGCGTGCAGTAGAGTAAGCACCAGGCGATAGCTGAAGGCACTTGCACTGCGCCGCCGGGCTGCGGACCAAATAATTGCCTTTCTTCTTCGCGGCCGTTAACGTGCTCTATTTCTGGGGGCAAACACTGCGTGGTGGAAAACACCTCACCTGGTTCCACTCGCTTGTAACTCCGCTTGCTATGTCTTGAAT